TATTTAACAAAGGGAGCTTAACACCTTTTCAAGGGGATTTTTTCTAAAAAAGTTTATTTTTTAAAATGTACAGTTTATTTTTCTTTGATTTTTGGACGCGTTAAACTTTCATCCTTGCGACTGCTTTTACAAAAAGAATTTTGGAAAAATGATAATATTTTGCATTTTAAAAAAATTTTTTAAATGAAGCTTCCAAATACACTTCTCACATCTCACTTTAGAAATGTGATTTTGACAACAATTTTCCTTTCTTATTGTTGTTGATAGATTTTTGATGAAATCGCATCATTTTGAATAGTTTCATTCTTTTAGAAATATGGGTTTGGGACAATTTTTCATCGTATTTCTTATGTCACTGCTTTTAAGATATTGGCTTATTTAATTGTCATTTTTATGTATATACAGTCAAAAGTCTTTAATTCGGACCTCAAAGCTACAAGCTTTCTGCGCATAATACGTTTACGCAGGCGCGTGTAATGTATAACAGACGGTATAAGCTAAGCTAAAATTATTTAATTATCTATTTCAGTTAATGTTGCAGATTGCGTTGTTCCTTAATCTTCTAATTAGATCCAGCTTACTATTTTTTGCAGACTGTTAGAGCAATTTTATAAAATAAAGCTTGAACTTTCGATTATGTCAAAAAGAATTTCCGATTCTGGAGCTGCCAAAGGATTTACAAAGCGAAAGCATGTTTCGATTACCATCAAACAAAAAGTGGAATTGCTGCAAAAAATAGATAAAGGCATATCCTTTGTTTCTCTAACCATTCTGAAATCTGTTTATCAATGTCACGCTGATCTGTGTGTGTGTGGGGGGGGGGGGTTGACGTTGCGGCACGCAATGAACTGGAAGTTGATCTGTCAGCACTATCCTTATCTTCAGGGCAGATGTTTTTATTTTATTTGCCTTATAATTCCTTACTAAATGTAGTATTTCATCTCGATGTACTCCATCTTTGATATGATTTAAATCAAATTCCTCGTCATTATAAATATTACGAATACACATCAAATAGTTTTCTGGTTGCAATTTTCTAATTTCGACTATGCAAAATGTATGCTTTACGCATGTGCGCGTTGAAAGAAATGTTTAATAAGGTAAACAAATAAATATTAAGCTTTTTTTCTTTTTTTGTAAATTTTGATACCCTTTAGATCATAATTGCTCTTTATTTCATAAATTACGGTTTCATATTTTTAATTTCATAATTTCTACATGCTATCTTACCAGATTTAAATTGATGATCTACAATCCGGAAACGCCAAAGTCCCGACGAGTCAGGATTAAAGACTTTTGACTGCAATATATTTTTATTGATTTTTTTTTTTTTTTTTTTTGGATAAAGTTGTTCTGCAGAGTAAAATTCTGCACGAAATTTTATGTTTTTTGAGTTGCTTTCATGTTATTTTTTGCTTATTTCACTGTTTGTAAGACATTGAAAAGTTTTGCATGATTTTTTTTTCTTTAATGGAAAGTTGGTTAATTTTTTTATTAGGATAATTAATATTTGTATTAAGGGATATAGCTTATTTCATTGTAATTTTTTTCTCTTGAAAATATACGATAAAATATCATTAATTATACTTTGCTTTTCAGAATTTTTTGTTTTTCGTATTCTTTTATGTTATTTATTGCTCATTTCACTGTTTTTAAGATATTGAAAAGTTTTGGGTGATTTTTTTAGGAAACAAAGTTCTTAACCTCCTTTGTACCATTTGAGTTCTTAAGATTTTGCAAAGGGAAGTTGGTTAATTTATTTATTAGGATAATTAATATTTGTATTAAGGGATATTGCTTATTTCATTGTAATTTTGTTATACGTAGAAACTTTTTTTTATGAAGTTGTTCTGCAGAGTAAAATTCTACGCAGTTTTTAAATTTAACGTTTGGCGTTCTCTTCAGCCATTTTCCAATACATTTAAAAGCCAGACGAAGGCTGGCAGCGAAGCTGCTAGTATTATTAATAAATATTTGTCGAATATTACTTTTGTGTTTTTAGCGTTTTTTCAATGACTTGCACTCGCCGAATTTTTTTTTCAAGTGAGATGTAATAGACCAGCTGCTTTTGAATGGTCTGCAAAGAACTTCTTGCAGAATATAATAAAATTCCTTTTTTGCAGCAATCAACGTTCCTTAAGAAATTATTCCGACTTTAGAGAACATGGGTTTTGTTTGGTTTCGATGAAATGCTGCACGTCATGTTCTTTAATTTTATTATTTTTTATGTTTGGTTTAAATAAGTTAGGAAATTTGTTTAAAATAACTCTATATTGGTTTCGTAAAGTGTTAGGAATGAAGCCATTGTTACATAAAGTACCTCTAGTCGCCAGTGCGGTGGTACCATCGATTAATTTCCTTTTTTACTGACGAATAAAAAGTAAGAAAAAAAAGACTTTCTTACTTATTACTTGAAAGAAAGACTATTATTATAAGAAAGAAAGTCTATTCCAATGGTAGGGTATGAACTGCGCGAAATTGATCGAAGATCCCCCTCTTATCTAATCCCCGAACTGTGGCGACGTTTTTCTGTCCCATCTTTCTAAGAACTTTAATTCCCAAGCTGATGAGTGCTACAAAAAGTCATTGAGACTGTAAGCCTCTATTTCCGTTTATCAATATTGTAAAAATTGTGCATACAAAACAAATATTAATTTAAATGTCTGGCATGTGCTAAAGTAAAAATGAATTTTTTTTACACTCGTTTTAAAGTTTTATGATGCTTAAAAGAATAACGAGCCAGATCTTTTTTGTTCTCTATAAGAATTAAAAACTTTTCAAGTTGCAGATTTTAGTCATTGATATATATATCAATCAGTTTGGAATAATAAAATTGATAGATTAATGACATACACAAAACTGATACATAATCAACCTATCAAATATCGAATTTGTAGTGCACCTTAAGTAAGCTTCTTGTCTAGATAAATATTAATAAATCTTGGATAGCAGCAGAATAGGTTTTAACTATCAAATTTACCATTTTAGGTAACAGTTTTAATTTAATTTAAACAATTCTCTTTATTAAATCTAAAAAATTTATTAAGTATTACTATTTATTAATTTATTAAGAACTAAAATAATTAAAATTATTTTAGTTCTAAATTCACACTAGTATTATTGCAATACATTGCCGTATTAAGCTTTCCATTTTTAGTCACTGAAGTTATTTTAACTTTCTTACAAATTCCATATTTTAATACTAAGAAACGTTTAAATATTTATTCTGTTTTCCAATTATTCTACCTTTCTATTATTCTTCACTTTGGCATACATTTCATTTCTAATACACATTTAATTAATAAATTGATAATTATGAGCATCTGCAGAATTTTTATAATTAACAAAAAAAAATCGAACTCCCTTATATTCATATCATAAAGCTTAATCTTCAGCATGCAGCTTATTTTCCAACCTAGTTTCAGGCTGAATTATTTGTAAAATTAATTATTTGAAATTATTTGTTAACAAAGATGGTCACTAAATCACGCTAATAATATTTTAATCTGTTGTATAATTTATAATGCAACGAGTTCATGTGATTTATAATATATTAAAATTTCCAAATCAAAGTGCATTTTTTTCCAGTTATTTTGTTACTGCTGATGGGAGTGATTCCAATCAATGCAGATGTTTAAATATAGTTTTTTCTGCTCATGCTGTATAATTGATGTAACTGTTGTAGCCTAATTTTCATTTCTGTGTACTGTTAAGAATTAAGAAAGCAAAAGCTCAGTTTTATTCTAATGTTTTTTCATTAAAAAAAAAAAAAAAAAAAAAAAGGAAAAATGCCAAACAGACTGCTTATATCATTTCTTCTACATATAGACAGAAAGCTATTTCTAATGATACAGTTTGAAGATGGTATGAAAAGTTTAAGTGTGGAAATTTCAGACTTGGAGATGTCTGCTCTGGATGACCATCCTTTGTAAACATGGCACTACTAAAAGCAGCTTTGATGAAAACCATGTTATACATCCAAAAATTACAGTACATGATCAATTGAAGAAGATTAGCTGTGTGAGCTGCTATTATGCATGGCTACCCCCATGCTTTTAACAGAGCAGAATATGCTTGCTCAAGTTTTGGCAGGCAATTCTTTGTAGAAAAGAAATAAAGATGCTCCTTTTTTTAAACAAATCTTTACTGAAGATGAGAAAATGGGAAAAGGTAAGTCATGGATTAAGGCAAATAAATTTCCTTTAGTAACATTATGAGATAAGCTGCATTTTAAAAAATAATGTTTTCAGTATAGTATCCTTAGTAAACAAAGGAATTGTATACTAAGAGTTTTTGTCGCCAAATCAGGCAGTATATTCAGAAAAATACTGCTCCCAAATGGCAGTTTTAAGGGCAGAAATAAAAAAAAAAAAAAAAAAAAAAAAAAAAAACACCCAAACTTGATTAATCAATCAATTAATTGTAGTCTTCCATCTTGACAATACTGGACCCTGCATCTCGATGAATGTAGCACAAAGACTTGTTGAGTATAGCTGAGATGTTCTGTGTCACTCCCCATATTCAATAGAATTCACCTGCTAGGGTTTTTATCTCCTCATGTCACTTCAAAATTTTCTGAATGGCTTCCATTACATTTATTTTTATGTAGACTATCAAACAGCACCTCAATCAGTTCTTTAAGCCTCATGACTTTTCTCAAAAAGGAATATTCTAGCTACTCGAGAGATGACCAAAAAAAAGAATAAAATAGTGCTTATGTTTTTGTACTGCTTCATTTGCATTAATAAAAAAATTAAAAAAAAAAAAAAAAAAAAAAAAACCACAGAACTTTCCCGATGATCCATAGTAAAATTTAATAGTGAAAATTTGAATTCTGATGAAAATGATATATGATAAAAGAGAAATCACCCTTTATTTCAGGAATAAACAATAGAAGAATTTCTTTTGTTCTTCCACACAAGATTAAACTGTGCACATTTTGGTTCCTATATAATTCTTGTTCTAAGTATTTCTTGAAATTCTAAGAAAGGAGAAAACTATTTTTGATATATAAAAATATACAGTTGAGCTTTATTACATATTTTTTTAGACCAATAAAACTGGATCAAAATATTTTGAACAGGTTGAAAGCATAATACAAGGAGAAGAATGAAATGAAATTAAACATCAGAATTCTATGTAAGCTGTACATCATATTTTCTTATGATTCCATCTCTAGAACCAGTAAATATAGATGTTCCATTTGAAGCCATGCAATAAACAGGATCAAAACCAGGTCCTGTTAACTGGATGCATTGATCTCGATTGAAAGCAGTAAAAATGCATGAACCATCACCTAAAAATAACAATAAAGTTCAAATTACAAATCAAGTTCAGATTCAAACCAAATGAAAGAGAATATATATAAGCTGGTACATTAGCTAGGTACAATAATGTTAACAAACTGGAGTATGTTCATACTTCTTCTGTTATAAAATTAATTCAAATATAGTATTAATGCTTAGTTTGGCAATTAAAGCAGTATTCATATTTCAGATTTTCATTTAAACAAAATAAAAATCACAATTCCAAATGAAATCATAAACCTTAGTAAAAAAAAAAAAAAAAAAAAAAAAAAAAAAAAAAAAAAAAAAAAACCCTTTTTAGAAAGATTATAAAGAAGTCTGATTTAAATTTTTAAAATTAATATTACATATAAATCTGAAAATAAATCAGTACAAAATGCATTAAATTACTTTACACAAATGCCTTACTTATAAACAATGAAATTTTAATTTTGTGAATTTATTTATTAGAAATTAAAAAATATTCTTTTTTCACTATTTACAGTATACACATGAAGTATTGCTAAAGTCTATATGTAAAAATGGGAGGAAGAAAAGGAAAGGGGAAAAGTGAAGAGTAGCTTTACACTTCCAGAACTTAGAGATTACATGTGTAATGTGGGACTTCCATGTTAATGTTTGGTCAAGTAATAACACCAAAATAGGTTACTTGCTTGGACCATGGGATAGCAGTATTATACATTCAAATATTAAAACTCAACATAGCAGTGAAGTAGGTGATATCATACCATTTCCAAGTGAACTTAACATGATCAATGAAGAAATAAAACTCACAAATGTTTACGTGGTGGTGGTGGTGGTAGTAGATTTATGGCACAAAGCTCAATAGGCCATATGCGCCAAACACAGGATTCTTTTTTTTAAATATAAACTAAAGGAAAAAAATATAAAGACAACAGCACATTTTTTAAAATCGACGCAAGTAAAAAGATATTTAAATGATGGGATGAAAATGCTGATTATGACTCTGATAATGCAGTATAGATATAAAATGCTAAAACATCTGATTAATTAAAATTCCAACATAAAATCTCAGGACAAAAATCAAATTAAATAATAGAAACCTGTTTCTTTCAGGTAGTGAAACAAATTGGTATTGACCTCTCTTCCGATTAAACGGTTGAGAGGCAGGTCGCAGCTATTAAAATACTTCTCACGAAGACTGTTAAAATATGGACATTCAATTAAAATGTGATAGACTGAGAGACATACATTACAATTTGTACAAACAGGCTCATTCTCAGCTCTCAGAAGGTAGCTATGTGTCACTCTAGTGTGCCCAATTCTAAGGCGCGTCAAAAGAACTTCCTCCTTACGATTGCAAGTAGTATGCCAATGCTCTATTTTAGCTTTCACCCTTTTCAACTTGTTATGAAGTTCAATGTCATAAAGTTGCTGCCATTTATTTCTGATCTTCTCTTTGATGACACAACGATATCTCTAAAAGGGATGAGGCGGCCGGACATTTCAACAGCAGATTTCGCTGTGATGTCCGCCAGCTCATTGCCTCTTTATTCCTGTATGTCCGGGGACCCAGCAGTACAGAATTTCATATCCACAACTTGTCAATTTAATATTCAACTTGAGAACATCCACTATCACAGGATTCTCGGTGGCTAGAAAAGGATTCTAAAGCTTTCAAGATTCTAAAGCTTTCAATGCACTGTAGGAGTCTGTATATAAAATGAATTTTCCATGGTGCAGCGTCGAGATGTACAAAAGCACATAATATATGGCAGTCAGTTCGGAGGTTAAGACAGAGGAAGCGTTGTGTAAACGTCTGCCTTCCATGTGGTCACCAATTATAAATGACATGCCTACATGGCAAGCTGACTTTGATCCATCCGTATATATGGAAACATAACTCCTGCAACTATGCCTGTGCTCAGCAAAAATTTGTCTATACATGATGTCATTAGTGGTTGTTTTTCCATAACTGTGGAAAATGTCAAGAAGTTGGATTTGTGCATTTTCCCAAGGTGAGATTTCAAAATGCTGTACTGCTTGTGGGGACATATCAGACAGGGAGAATTCTTCAATGAGTGGACGAACTCTGGCAGAAAAAGAAGCCACACAGGATGGACACGCCTCAAATAAAAGGTCACAGCTATCATCAAATAAACACAGTTTGTAAGGATGGTCAGACTGAGACAATATATTAAAATATTGTAAAAGTGACAACTCCTCATGCCTCAAACGGAGTGATGGCTCGTGACAGTCAACATAAAGGCTCTGCACAGGAGATGTCCTGAATGCTCCAGAACAAATCTGCAGAGCCTGATGATGAACAGGATCTAGTTTTAACAATACTGAAGACTGAGTGGATCATAAACAGCTGAGCCGTAGTCCAGTCTAGAGCGAATTAGAGCTCTGTAAATGCGAAAGCATGGACCAACGCTCTGCACCCAAGGAGGTGTTCGCCAGGACTTTTAAAATATTTAAAACTTTTATACACTTTTTTCTCAAGTTTAGGACACAAGGAAGGTAAGTCAATTTTTGGTCGAACATCACCCCTGAAAATTTTACTTCAGGTGCAACTGGAATCACAGACCCATTGAGGTATAATTTAGGCTCAGGATGGAGACCTCGCTTTCTACAAAAATGCATGCACACAGTCTTCTGTTTCGAAAACGTAATTATTAATTTGTATTCCTTGTCTTTTTGCCCATTCCTGGATCCTGTTCAAAGCGATCTGGAGCTGCCTCTCTACATGTCTCATATCTGCACCTCGACAACTAATTTGTAGGTCATCAACATATAAAGATCCTGAAATGGTGGGAGGAAGTTGTTTTAATACAGAATTTATTTTTAGGCTGAACAGAGTTACACTAAGCACACAGCCTTGAGGCACACCCTCTTCCTGTTGAAAAACATCCGACAAAACAGGGTCAATCCTTACTTGAAAAGTTCTAGTATTCAAGAAATTCTGAATGAAAATTGGTAGGTTGCCGCGCAAGCCACTCTAGTGAAGATTTCGAAGTATACCGTACCTCCATGCCTTATCATAAGCTTTCTCAATGTCAAAAAATACCGAGACAAGGTGACTCCTTCTTACAAAAGCTTTACGAATGGATGTCTCTAAGAGGAGCATATTATCTATGGTAGTTCTCCCCTTTCGAAAACCGCTTTGATAAGACGACAAAATATTATTCTTTTCCAAGAAGTAGATTAGGCGGCTGTTTACCATTTTTTCTAACAGCTTGCATACGCAACTTGTAAGCGCAATTGGCCGATAGTGGAGGGATTCCTTGGATCTTTCCCTGGCTTAGCAATGGGAATTACAACAGCTCTCCTCCATGCACTGGGAAAAGTACACTCCTTCCACACTCTATTGTAAAGAGTGAGAAGGGCAGTCAGTGACTTACAGGACAGATGCTTTAGCATTTCATAATACATGCCATCCAGACCCGGACAAGACCTATGTGTCTTACTTCCTTAATTCAAGCATAGTAAAGTCTGTATTATATATCTCAGATTTGGAAGAGTTGAATGCGATGGGATTTATTTCAGAGTGCTGCTTGATAGAGAGAAATGCAGGTGAATAGTTTCTGCTGGAAGAAACGGCAGCAAATGTCTCACCAATAGTATTCGCAATTTCTTCTATGGAGCTAATCACTCGGCCATCTTTTTCCAGAAAGGAAAGTGAGTGGTCTTTATATATTCCGCATGCTTTTCGAACTCTTTCCCAAACCCGCTTACTAGGCGTAGAGGATGTTATTGAGGACACATATGAAATCCAGGAATCCCTCTGGCTCTGCCTTCTTACTTTTCGTGCATTTGCTTTGGCTCTTTTAAAGGCTATGAGGTTTCGCAGAGTAGGATATCTACGAAAAATACCCCATGCTTTTTTTTGTTTTTCAGTGCTTCATGACAGTCGCGATTCCACCATTTTTCCTGATGTTCTAGGAATGGAAAGCATAGCTGCCTGAATAATAGTATTAGTAACAGCTTCAACAGCATCATCGATATGCACATCTTCTACCATTTTCTCTGTGAGCTCTGCAGAGGAAGAGAAGAGTTCCCAGTCTGCCCTGTCCAGTATAAACCGAGGGAGTCTCGACATGGGGTTTGCTCCTCTTCGTGCAAGAGACACAAAAATGGGATAATGATCGCTGTTGTAAAGATCATTTCCGACACTAAAAGTGCAAAATGGCAACAGAGATGGTGAACAGATGGCAAGGTCGAGAGCGTGGAATGTCCTTGAAGGCTCATGGAAGTAAGTATCCTGCCCATTATTCAGGAGACAAAGGCTATGATCTTCGATCATCTGCTCAATTTGTCTTCCTCGGCAATTTGTATCTTTACTACCCCAGAGCGGACTATGGCCGTTAAAATCTCCTATTAAGATAAATGGCTCAGGCAGCTGCTCTATAAGACCAATTAAATCTTCCTGATCAAACGACTGTAACAGCAATATCAAGATTTGTTTGAGTAGCGACAACTTGGAGGGGTGTCGTCAAAGGAAAGGAACTTGATGGGTAGTCCAGTGAGGTGAGGAGACCTCTACCTCCACTGGCACGCTCACCTGCAAGGTTATCCTTCCTGACGAAAGAAAACCTCCGAAGTTTTGCCTGTTGTTCCGGTTTTAGATTTGTTTCCTGTATTGCGAAGCATACAGGATGATAAGCATTGATTATAGCTTTGATGTCGAGCAAATTTCGGTGGAAACCGCGACAGTTCCATGATACGAGGGTGGCCATTATGAATGGTTTTTGTTCTTTCTGTGCTGTTCTTTTGTTTTTCGTGGAAGTAGATGCCTGGGAACTTCTAGACCCTCTTCTACTTCCATACTGTCTGAATCCGCAGATTCAGATATCATGTCATCAAAAGAGCTATTGCTGGTGCTTCTACTTTTATTTATTATTTTCTGAGTCTTAATTTTAGGTTTGCCTTGAATTACAGTTTCTTTTCTTTTTTTTTTTTTTTTTTTGTACTATATGGGTCGCATTTTCTTTTTTTCTATTGTTTGTAATCTGTTGAGTTTTGTTTG